TAATAGTGGTCAGACATGGTCTTTCTAAACAGAACACACTGCTAGCCATGCACACTGTGGTTTTGTACCACCTGAAGCTGGAGACGAATGGATTTATAGAATGGTAAATATGTGACTACATCTGCAGCATCCTGATTGCTTGGAGCAGATTGCTCTTGACTGGATAATGCCCAGGGAATGTGCATTAGACTGAAGCTGCTTCTAATTTGCTGCCATTTGTTAGCAAGGATTTGCTACACATGGGTTATAAATGTCATTAATCAGTTATACAGCATTAAAACTGGTTCTTATCTGCTCTTCCATGGCAACCCACGACTCTATCTTTCTCTACTTCTGAGTGAATATTATTCTTCAATGTTTACCAAGCTATTAAAAAATTATTATAAGGGAAAAAATAAAGCAAGAAATATTTTTGAAATAAAATTATGAAATAGTATGACAGATCAAATATTTTTGCTACTCTCATTGGTAACAACATAAACATAATTGAAAGAAAATTAGTCTGATCAGCAGGGGATATCTAGTTATGAAAACAGCAGAAATATTGTGTTGTATTAATTCTATGACTATTAACATGAACAAATTCTGTACAAAATATCAGATAGTCTAAAGCCATAATTCAACAAACATAAACAGGCAAAAAAACTATAAATAATACAATTACAGAAAGAAAAATGGAATATGCTAAGAGTTTTTACCTTGAAGATAGTCACATTTGCTCCTGTAGCCTGAGATTTTAGGCCATAAAGACAAAAGTTAGAAGTAAGGGTACAAGGTACAAAGGAAACTCCAATTCCCCAAACTCCAAAACGCAGTCCAAATATCCAGAAATGAGCTCAACCTGTACTACAGGAGGATTCCTGGCAGTTAGATAAAAGTCAGCATTCCTCGGGAATTTGTCAAACTGCTCCCATCTACCAAAAGGAGTCATTTTCCTTACCTCTGGCAGAAGGGACCTATGGCTACCAGTGGTGGTTTTCAGCATATCAAAACTCATATAGGCCTCCAGGTTCCCTCAGTATCACAAGTACCTTTAAACATTTCAAAGTTCACCTGTAGATTCCTAGCCCTTTACCTCCTCCCCTATCTTATATTACCTCCAAGGACATCACTCCCTGCAGCTACTTGTTCTGCTTATAACCTTGCTGTTCTTTCTACATGCTCTCTATCTCTCCCTCTGTCTCTGTCTCTGTCTATCTCTGTCTCTCTGTCTCTCTGTCTCTCTGTCTCTCTGTCTCTCTGTCTCTCTCTCTCTCTCTCTCTCTCTCTCTCTGTCTGTCTCTCTCTCTCTCCTCCTCTTACTGTTTCTTCTGTTCTTTCCCCTGCTATTCTTCCCTCTCTCACAGATAGCCCTGAAGAGATCCAGTCTGCTGGCCATGTTTAGTCTACTTCTTTCTCTCTCTGCTCTCGACTCTTCCAGGTGCCTGTGGCTGTTGTCTATCTCATATTTACAATAAAGGCCTTCCCCTTAACTATGCCATGGAGAAGTCATGTCATCAGTTTATACATCAGATCCCACTGCTGCAGGAAGATGGAAAATGACTGAAAAAGAGGGTACTACTGATACAAAATCTAACATTTTACATGCAACTCTCTCAAATCCTTGAACATGGCTTAAAAATCCTCATTCAGGGAGCTAAAGAGCTAGCTTAGAAGGGAATTATGCTTGCTGCTCTTGTAGAGGAAATGTGTTTGGTTTCCATCATCCACATCAGCAGGCTGACAACTACCTGTAACACTAGTTCTAGAGAATTCGACACCCTCTTCTGGCTTCACACAGTACAAATACATGTGTATTAAAACACAGACACATGCAAAAAAATTTAAAATCTAAAAATGAAAAGCAACATGCAGAGAAAAGATTTAATAAACTTGAAGCAAACAGGAGTTAGGAGGCAGGACTTTTAGAATATTCCTGATGCTAGGAAGGAATAGATTTTAAAGTATTGATAAGCTCAGTTAACACTGTGCAGAGTCTATCCCCTTATTGTCTCACAAGTCAACCCAGGACTAAAACTTATTTACTTAATGGCTGAGTAAAGTCAGAAGACTCATTCATTATAAGGAAGACCCTGCAAAAATCAAAGAAATCTATGATCATTTAAATGTCTCTCTGTCACATAAAAATCTATATATTTGGAAGAAAATTGGCTCCAAAGGGTCCACAAAATGTTATGTACAGTTCCCTGTACACAATTAAATTGCCACACACACAAACCATTAACAATCAAAGATAATAGAGGAAATGAAGGATAACCCAGTTGTTGAATTTAGCAATTACAAATACATTTTAATGTTTACAGGATGATAAAAAATCAATTTGAGAGAAAGACATAATCAAAAAAATTCAAATGACTACTTTAGAATTAAAAAAAAATACATTAGGGATGGGATATTGCTCAGCTGTAAAAAGCTTGTGGATCATGCATAAGGCCCTTGGTCAGTCCCCAATATAGGAAGGAAAGACAGTGATGTAGAGATTGGGAAAGAAAAGGAAAGAGAAAAGAAGGAGGGGGCTCAGGGGAAGAGGAAGGAGAACATTTAGCAAATATTGGTCACATAAATAGGAAGGCTTAGTAATCTTTTTCAAGAGAAGTTGTTAGAAACTCAACACAGAAGATGAAGCCTAAAAAAATAAGTAAGCAGAAATCAGAGACATACCTTTTTAACATTTTAAGCAAATCAATTTATTGGAAATTTTCAGCCGTTTTAGGATGTTAAAGCTTATGTCAATAAATTACCCCACATTCTCTTATACTAAAGCCCATTTATTGCTCAGTCTTAAATTGAGAAATGAATTTTTTATTCAAGCATCACTGTATAATATCATAGGTTTTCTTTGTTTGGTTGTTTTTTTTGTTTTTGTTTGTTTGTTTGTTTTTTTCAAAACTTTGGCTCCTTAAATGGTACAGTTGACACACTGCATTGTGTAATAGGAAAAGCCACAAATATTATTGTTATCATCAATCTTCTCAGGTACATCTTTAAATAGTGAAAAGCTGGTAGAAGTATTCTGAGCTTTAAAGTTTTATTTAAAAGATGAATTTTGTCATGGTAATATACTCATTTTTTTTCTGAAGTGGTAAACAGTTAACTTTTGAAAGATAATAATTCCTCACTATGAATAGACATAGCCAGTTACCCTATGGAAAAAAACAATGTACCTTTTTAAAAAAGCAACCATGTCACTCATAATTAAAGTAAGTTTTGTCAAACAAAAACCATCTTACTTCAGAATGTGTCAGTATCATGTGTATTTTCCATCAGGTCACAGAGAATATCAAAATTGAATGTCCTCGGGGTTTTCAACTTAGTTAAATTATCCACTTTTGTTCATTCATCCAGGACACTCATGAATTTTGCTCTATGTGGTTTTCCTTGTTTCCTCCATTTGTTGCACTGTGAAGAAAACAATGACATCCTGTGTGGTTTATTGTAACTGGTGCATAAGTGTTTAAATATCAGCAGGTTTATTTTTATCAAAAACTGCTTTTGTTGTATCCCAGTAGATGTCAATGTGAAAGAAAAGTCAAATGATTCCTAATATTAATATAAAAGTGTTTCTAATTTTTCTGGACCTTCAAAGGTTCGCAGAGACCCTGGTGTCACCCATTCCCCCACTTGCCCAGGCTGGATATGTAAAGCAGATGGACCCATTACAGCGACAGAAAAAACACTCTAAGCACTTTGGAAAATTCTGTAGTGACTGCATGGACTTCAGACGCCTGCCCACCCCAAGAAGAAATTCCACTGCATAATATACTAAGGAGAAAATATGCCATATAGCTTATAGCACGAATCTTAAAAAGTCTTAATAATAAAATCAAACCTGAGCCAGGTACTGGAGTGAATGCTGGAAGATCAGAGAAGCAGAACTAGCCACAGCCACCTCACCTCGCCAGTTCCTCAGCTGATCCTGTTTCCTCAGATTTGAAGCCTTTGAGTCTTCATCCAAATGAATCTCAGCTGAACTGCTGCTCAAACGCTAAATGCTTAACCAGGCTCTAGTTCCTGGTCCTCATGTCTTAAATACTTTTCTGCTTTCTGCCATCACTTTCTGGGATTAAAGGCATGAGTCATCATGCCTGACTGTTTCCAGTGTGGCTTTGAACTCAGTGTGGCTTTGAACTCACAGAGATCCGGATGGATCTCTGCCTTCGGAATGCTAGGATTAAAGGTGTGTGTGTCACCATTTTCTGGCCTCTGTATCTAGTGACTGTTCTGTTCTCTGACCCCAGATAAGTTTATTAGGGTGCACAATATTTTGGGGAGCACACTATCACCACAATAGCTGGCAAAAATTTGCTCAAACATAGTCACAGCATCCAATTTGTATAAGAAGAAGAAAGGGTACCTAAATGTACATCAGGTAAACAATGGGATTTTGTTGATAACACATCAGCTCATTGAATGCAATACTGTTGAAACTTAACAAGTGATATATGGATACAATCAACAACACAGACACGCCTTGAAACCCAGAATTTGGATAAAATAACTACAATATAATACAATACAATGTTTGGTGTATTACATTTAGATGAAGTTAACTAGGAAGGACATGACAGATAATTTCTTTTATAGTAGTTCAGAAAAATAGTTACCTTTATTAAAAGAAAAACTAATAAAATATAGTGTAGTGGCCTATGAGATGGCTCAGTGGATAAAGGTAATTAATGTGTAGGACAGGTGACCTCAGTTTGATCCCTGGCACCCACCTAAGGTAGGGATTGAACATGAGCAATCAGGTTAGGGGAGGCACTGAGGGAGACCGCTGGGGGTGGCATCTCAGGATCTGGTAGAAGCCTGTTACGAGGGCATCTCTCAGGAGTCAATGGGGAGAACCCCAGCTTAGACTCCTAGCAATAGCAATTAAGTGGCCTGAACTGGCCATCTCCTGTGACCAGATTGATGCACCTGGCCCAATAGTCATCAGAGAGTCCCTATTCAGCTACTAATGGAATCAGATGCAGAGACCCACAGCCAAACACTGTGATGGAGTACTCACTTCAGCAGCGCATATACTAAAATTTGAACAATACAGAGAAGATTAGCATGGCCCCGTGCAAGGATGACATGCAAATTAGTGAAACATTTCATATTTTTCAGGAGTCCAGTCAACAAGAGAAAGGAGGGATTATATGAGCAAGAGATATCCAGACCATGATTGGAAAAAGTACAGAGACAACTAGCCAAACTAGTGGAAACATGTGAATTGTGAACCAATAGCTGAGGAGCCCCATAGTACTACTAGACTAGGCCCTCTGGATAAGTGAGACAGTTGATTAGCATGAACTGTTTAGGAGGCTCCCAGGCAGTGAGACCGGGACCTGTCCTTAGGGCATGAGCCAGCTTTTTGGAACCTAGTGCCTATGCTGAGACACTTTGCTCAGCCTTGGTGCAGGCTCTGCTGACTCCCCAGGGGAGACCTTGACTTGGAGAAGGTGGGAATGGGGGGTAGGTTTAGGGGAAAGGCTGGGGGTGGGAGGAGGGAGGATGGGGGTATCCGTGGTTGATATGTAAAACGAATAGAAAATATCTTAATAAAAAACAAAACAAAACACTGTGGTGGAGTTTGGGTAATCCTGTAAAGGAGGAGGAGAAAGGAGTGTAGGAACCAGAGGGGTCAAGGACACCACAGGAAGACTCACACAATCAACTAACTTGGGCTCATAGGGACTTGCAGTAACTGAATAGACAACCAGATAGCCTGAATGGGACAGACATAGGCACTCTGCATATATGTTACAGTAGTGTAGCTCCATCCTCTTGTAGGAGTCCTAACAGCAGGAAAAGGGGTTGTCTTCCACACTTTTAATGGCTTTTGGGACCCTAATCCTGTAGCACAAATCTTAAAAGGTCTTAATAAAATCAAACCTGAATCCAAGTATTCGGGTGAATGTTGGAAGATCAGAGAAGCAGAACAAACCACAGCCACCTCACCTTGCCAGTTCCTCAGCTGATCTTGTTTCCTCAGACTGGAAACCTCTGTGTCCTCATCCCAATGGATCTCAGTTGAACTGCTGCTCAAAAGCCTATAAGCTTAACCAGGCTCTAGTTTCTGGTTTTCACACCTTATATACCTTTCTACTTCTGGCCATCACTTCCTGGGATTAAAGGCATGTGTCACCATGCCTGGCTGTTTCCAGTGTGGCTTTGAACTCACAGAGATCCACATGAATCTCTGCCTCCAGAATGCTAGGATTAAAAGTGTGTGTGCCACCATTTTTTGGCCTCTATGTCTATCTAGTGTCTGTTCTGTTCTCTGACCCCAGATAAGTTTATTAAGGTGCACAATATATTGGGGGACACAATATCACCATATAATCATCATACTGGGTTGCCTTGCCCAGCCTTAATACATGGAGAGGTGCTTAGTCTTACTTCAACTTGATATACTGTGTTTTTATTGATATTCATGGGAGACCTGCCCTTTCCTGAATGGAAACAGACAAGGAGGTTGGTTGGGGGTTGGGAATGAGGAGGATAAAGGAGAATGGCAGAGGAGGATTTAGGGGGAGGTTGTGTCCAGGATGTAAAGTAAATAGATGAACATAAATAAATAAATAAACAAATAAATAAATGAATGAATAAAAAGTGAAAGTGAGAAGCAGTTCCACCAAGTCTCCACACATGTGCTGTGAGACACAAGTCTCCCATCCAAATAAACACACACAAAATAATGAAGTGTAAGGACTCTTATGATCTGTCATGATTGCTTGTGAATAAATTATATTTTATTATGAAAGTTGTGTTTCTTTTTGAGTGAGTACTGCATATTTATCACACACTATTAGTATAACATTAAAGATTATTATCATTAAGTTGTAGCTATATTGTATATGCATCTATGATCTGTTGAGTGAGTGGCATGGTGTGGTACTATGGGATAACTGAGTAGAGTATAATAGTTCCTAAGAACTTATTAATTTTTGTTTATTAATCACATTTAATATTTTGGAGGGGACATTGGAGAAGGAAATGATTCCTTTCACTTCAGAATTGTATTTCACCTTGATGCCTGATATCAGGTTGATTTTTATAACTTATTTTTTAATAACTTCCAGTTAAAATTATATGTTTTAAAGTATATATAGTATGCACACATACTGTATATAGGTATGCATATACTGTAATGTTCTGATAAGAGTAGCCATTTTTTTCCTTCAGTTCTTTGTGGTGAGAATCTAAAATTCTTTCTTGCATTTTGAAACATACAACACATTAGTATATCTTAGTCATCCTCCCAGCAGCATCATAGAAGAACTGATTTATATATATATAGCTGTGGTTCAGTGCTATGGGCTAAACTTTGTTTGTCCCTCTCTCCCCACACCCTTCTCCACTACTTCTAGTACCTAGCATTCTACTGGCAACTTCTTTAAGTGCAAATATTTCAGATTCATATGTAAAAGAAGTCATGGAATACTTCTCCTTCATTACCTGGTTCTTTTTGCTTACCCCAGTAGCTTCCAGTTTCATCCCTGCTGTCACAGATGGTAGGGTTGTATCTTTCTTAAACATGATTATTATTTAATTGAGTGCTTTGTGGCATTTTTTTATGTTCACGGAATATTGGTTACACAGCCATGTCACCAAACCATGTGTGTAAGAATGATTTGTTCAGGAGAAATGGCTCTGTGTTTATGAATACCCACTGGGTACTCTTGAACTATCTGTAACACCAGTAACTCCAGTTCCAAGGAAAACATTGCCCCCTTCTGGCCTCCACATGCACTGTACCCATGAGAAACACAAAAATACATGCAGGTACACATTAATAGACATAAAATCTAAAAGAATAAATCTTTTAAATGAGAAAGATTTGCTCTAAGTCACATTTCAGTGCATTTCTTAATTAAAAAAAATTTAGGGATAGTCAAAAATGTATACAAACATGCACACGCATATATGTATATATGTATACATACACATACACACACACACACACACACATACACACACACATGCCTTCTCTTATAAATGAATTCCATACTGTTCACAAGATACATGGATAAAGAAAAATGACCTACATGGCTTAGCAAAAAAAAACAAAACCAGATAATGAAATTTATAAAACTTAAAATTGTAAAAATACTGTAAAATTTTCAATAATAACTTAGATTTCAACATAAAATTTAATTATGCAGAAGATAATTAAAAACAACAACAACTCACAACAGATAGAAAACTGTGATGAGATCTAAGGTGCATAATAATCCAGTTTCTAAATGTAAAAAATAATGTTATGTATATGCTTAACAATAAACATAGTCATATAAAGTTTTAGCATAACCTTTTACCCTTGAAAATAAAGTAAAATATAATCTACGTATACACGTGCACTATGTAGTTCATTTATATTTGTACTGGAAACACAAGCCATCAAGCACAAAACCAGAATGGTGGTAAATCTTTAACCTAGGATTTTCAATATTTAACATGCAGAAAAAAATATAAATAGAGCTGGTCAGCAGCACAAATTGGAAAACTTTAACAGTGTCTTTGACAGAGCAAGGTAACAAAAATTGGTCTGTGTAATATATTAATAGGGTTTATTTTATGTGTGATTGTATTTCAAATCCTAAATCCTATGTAAGCAGTGCTCCTTCTTTTCAAGAGCCAATGGAACATTTACAATGATTGCTCATATATCAAGCTATAAAGAAAACACCAATAAATCCCCAAAAGGAGAAATAAATCCAGCCACATTCACTGCAGTTTATTACTGTACAGCTAAAAACTAATAACAAAAGTTATATCTTAACTTGATTTATTTTAAGATATGTACCTTCAAAGCAATTTCCGGAATACAGAACATGCTCTCAGTTCTCTAGATTATAGTTACTGCCGGATCAAAATATGAATTTCGAAAAAATTACCTAACAAACATTCAAGAGGTGGAAAATAGTGATTCATCACTTGCATTAATAATTAGACACCTTTCTTTACCCAGCTGGACATTTGCTTTGACCAAGAGCTGATTCTACCCCTAATGTGAACTTCTTTTGTAATCCAAATAAAGAAGAAATCTAAATTATATGATTAGAGTAACTAATAGTGATGGGTCTTCTACCAAATTCTAACTTCAGTTAAAAACATATCTTTTTTAATTCCAAAACTGAAAATAATTTCATTGCTGAGAGCTGAAGAGTATTACCATTCAAGATCTTTTTTCAACTTTCAGGGGTCTACAATGAAGGATGGAGTCAGGTTTATTTACGACTCACTGTTTCTAGTATAGCCTGAAAGGAATGAAGAAGACCTCTGTTTACTCCTTGTCTTTAGTTTAAAATACTTTATGTGATCTCCATCAATGGTGAACAGTCTAGGCTTTATTTCTAATTTGAAGACAATGATGTAAATAAATAGATAGCTTATCCAAGCAGTTACTAACTCAACTGTGTAAAGAGAGGGAATTTGCGAGGATATTTTGAATTCTGAAGATGTGATATCTTGCAAGTGCAGTGATGGCCTGCTTGTAGCAAAGGGAGAAAATCTGTGCTGCATGTTACATGGATGGGAATTGGAGAAGAGGAATGAACATCTCATCATTATCTAACAGAGAAGCATTCAGATTATGAGAAGGCTTGTGTTCTTTTTACATGGCTGATTTTCTTGTCCTTACTTTGGTTTGTGAGTGATATAGAAGTTAAAAAACAAAGTATAGCATGTGTCCATGAAAACAGAAAATCAAAATACTGACATATATAAACCAAATAGAAAAGACTTGATCTGAAGTTCAAGAAAATGAAACCTCCTGATTTTTTTGAGTTGATCTTGTATCCTGCTATGTTGCTGAAGGTGTTTATAAGCTGTATCAGTTCCTTGGTGGAATCTTTGGGGTCGCTCAAGTATAGTCACCTTGTTTATCTAAGGAATAGATTAATCAAGATTCCAGAATCTTCCAAGCTGAACCTGATATAAGAGAACATACTTTTACTCTAATCTATATTGTAAAAGTATAAAATCTATTATCGAGAAAGTACTCCATTAAAGAAAATCTAAAAAGTAAATAATAGACGTTTAAAAGGAACAAGAGTCCCACAAGTTTTCAAGAACTACTGAGAAAAGTATCTCTACTGTTTAAGGCATAGTTGATGGTG